TCGCCATCCTCGAAACTGTCATCGTTTTTGGCTTCTCATATTTTTTTTGCGTGTCAAAAGTGTCAACAGCCACAGGGATGGGGCGGGTCGGGGTCGCCATCCTCGAGACTGTCATCGTTTTTGGCTTCTCATGTCTCTTGAGCACAAAAGTGTCAACAGTCACAAGGATGAGGCGGGCATTCCCAAAACGCCAAAAACCAAAAAATTGGGGGGGGGAAAAAAAAAACAAAAAAAAAAAATGAAAAAAAAACTTGGCTCCTCGTATATACTGAGGGCCCAGAGGGGTGCCCATGCAACTATTTCAGGGCCCGGGTATATACTGCAGAGCTACATGGACCTTTTGCGGTGAAGAAGCAGTGTGCAAGGTTGGGCATTCGAACTCCATTCTTGTCGGCTTAGGGTTCAGGGCTGGACCCAAATAAGGCAGTTTTCCTGGGAATCGAAATCCTGAAACCCTAAACCCCTAAACCCTAGACCCTAAACTCTGCCACTCCAGGCAAGGAATCCCATGCATGTAGTCTCGTCCTGTCATTGGGTAAGTGAGGCTTCTTGAAACGTCAACAGACTTTGTGCGCAAAGTTCCCATGATACCCCCACGAGGTTGACACGTTTCAGTCATTTCCGCAACATAATTTGCCTAAACCCTGGACCAAAACTTAGGGTGGAAGTTTCCCCAAACAGGGGTGCACGAAGACAGGTTCCCCAAATTCCCCACACACTGCTTTCCTCACTAGGGGGACCCCCAAAAGACACTCCTGATTCTTGACACCTCCTTTAGTCCCCCTTAAGTAGATAGAATCTAGAGTATATGGGGATCTTATTATAATATACCCGAGGCCACATTCGATCTACTAAGGGGGAGTATAGGACCCTGAGCCCTAAACCCCTATGTTTCGAACTGGCACTCCAGGAGCCAGGAGCAGAGGAGCGAGGCTGATGAGAACAGCGGTGGCAGGGGAAAAGAAGAGCTCAGAGGTCACGCGTGGGGTTATAGTCCCCCTTCAGTAGAAATAATATCGGGGGTTATATTGGAAGAATGAAAAGGAAATTGCTTTATAGGGTTTAGGGTTTTAGGCATAGTGCCCCTTAAGTAGATAGAATATGGCTTTGGGTATATTATAATAAGATCCCCATATACCCCATAGTCTATCTATTTGAGGGGGACTATATAGTGATAAGGCCCCTAATGGTCAGTACTTTGGCCATAATAGAAGGTCTAAGGGCCCAAACGCATACTTCGCGGGCACAAACATATGACTATAGAACTACAAGGGCCCTATCAGCTGGAGAACGACCTGCGTTGGCCCAACAGGGCTGTAGGTAGTACCTAGAGGTAATATCCTTATTCAACCCCAAATACCCCTTTAGGGGACCTAGGGCTCCTATGTTTCCCTTTTGATCCAGTCCTACATGCAGCCCTAGGGTCTAAAGTTTAAAGTGCACAAACCTGCTGCAAGTGATTGCTGTATGGCGGCTGAATGAATCGAGGTCTCGTCAGCAACTGTTTCGCGATTGCTCAAGGTTTTTCAGAGGCTCAAAGAGACCGGCATCCCAACTCTAGCTATCTGCCTCAACATGGCCAAGTCCAGCCTCCTGTCCGTCTTGCTGGTTGCCTTCCTCGGCGCCTCCCTCTCCT